AAACTTTAGAACGAACTGCTTGGATTTTATGGTCGGAATTTGAGTGACAATAAAAATATGGGTAACACATCTATCCCAATTGTGCCCCTTACGATTTACCACTGCAACATTCTGGAGTGTATTTTAAAGTAATCTCGCTCGTTTTCGTACCACTTCTCGATGCTTTTGCATGCATTTGATAATTTTCTGATGAAGATCGTCTGGATTATCGTAGCGAACCTTTCATGGTACCAGTATACACCACACATTTTTGCTTGGCTTTTCTTTCCTGAGTTGCGCCTTTGTTCATGGCAAAGCGGTCTTAATCCTTGATCCGGGTGCCGCGCTGTCATTAATCCACTCGTTCTTATTGAATATCTAATATTCCACTAATATTCTACTTGTTTGTTAACACTGATGATTAGAACCGAATAATTTAGAGATGCAGACAAAAAATAATGATAATAAAATAATGTTAATTTGAAATAACTGCAACCTACACTTATACTTCTAGTGCATGATTTTTTTGGAGATCGTACAATTGGCCGATTTGCTAGTCTCAAGTACCACTTACTAATTTGTAGCCTAGAAACGATCACGGTAACCAAAACGACCGGCTTGTCGGAGTATTTTTTACTTCCAACAGTATTGATATCATGCAAATTGTATCTGGCTCTATGTTCATATTCAAGCATTCTTCGCTCCTTTTTGTCAGTCACTTTCAGCGTTCACTCTTCAGCTTTCGTCAGTGATCACGTTTCGCATACCTACTTCATTATTTTGAACAAAACTTTGTTCAACAACTAGGAATAATCATCCTTTGAAACTCCAATGGCATCAACAACGAGGTGTACATTTTTAGGTGGAGAATGTGGCGCATATTTACTTTTTGTAGACTGGACTCTAGTGCCCAAGGAAGAATAGGTTTTTCGATAGCAAAACCCGTTGTCGATCGAGAAACGCATGGGTAGATTGTGATTCCATACTCTCCCAACAAAGAGGGGGTGCGCGTAAGTAATTTAGAAGTGGTGTGTACGCAAAATTCTGATTGAGCGGATACAAATTTTAGACGTAAATCCCAGGAAATCTCTTGGGCGACAAGGCATCTCAGCATTATCTGGGAGCAGCGAAGCTTGTATGGAGGAAGCGGTAGCATTCAACATGTATTAGCTAAAGCTTTGAAAAAGTGCTTCTGCTCGAAGAGCCGCTGAGTCGATAATCTCTCAAGGAGACGAAGATGGCC